TTGAAGAAGTTGGTAGAATTCTTCTATTTCATCCTCACTGGCTTTAGTGGTTGGTGTGTAAATTTGAATAATAGTGGTATTAACTGGGCTTCCCTATAGGCGCATGGCCTTGTTTTGACAGACAACGTTGTACCTCATGACTGATCTGGATATGTTCTTTTTGACGATGAATACACCACCATTCCTCTTCAATTTGTCATTTCCAGCATAGGAAACCATGTGGTTGTCAGATTCAAAGTGGTAAATACCAGTCCATTTCAGCTCACTAATACCTAAGATATCGATGTTTATGTGTTCCATTTCATTTTTGACGACTTCCAATTTTCCCAGATTCAAACTTCGTACATTCCATGTTCTGATTTTCAATGTATGTTTACAGTGTTTCTCTGCATTTTGAGTTGTGCCCCATCAGCCAATGAAGGGCCCGTGGGCTTTTCTCCCATGGGCTTTACTCCATTCGTGTCATCACGGTCAACTCTACTCTGAGGAGGCATCTCTTCCCCAGTCGCATTTTGAGTGTCTTCCAACCTAAGGGGCTCATTTTTTACCACAGTATCTGACAGTGTTTCTCTGCTATTCATAAGGTTTTCAGTAACTAAATATTTGCACGTAGTTTGTCACTCATTCTTCCTAGTCTGTCTTCGTCGGGAAGGTCATCTGAAACCTGTCCACCATGGGTGACCCTGCTGGTATTTAAAATACCGGTGGTGTAGCTTTCAGAATCACAGCAACTCACAAGCCACCACAGTACGACAAACTGACAGATGAGTGATGGTGGAAACCCTGTACAGGGTCGCTATAAGTCAGAACCAACTTGATGGCACTTAACAACGACAACAACAACAAATGATCTTTGGGAGCTCTGGTAGCGTAGTGGTTACGAATCGGGCTGCGAACCTTAAGGTCAGTGGTTCGAAACTACCAGCGGCTCCGCGGGAGAAAGATGAGGCTTTCTACTCCCGTAAAGATTTACACCCTCGGAAACCCTGTACAGGGTCGCTATGGGTCAGACCCGACTTGATGGCACTTAACAACAACAACAACAACAACAATCTTTAAGAAAAATTAAGGAGGTGTGTTAGCTATATTGCTTTGCTGCTGAGCACTTACTAGGAAGGAATAATGAATGTCATCACACCCATGTGGATACATTAGGATAGATTTGCATATCTATTTAAAAGTGATTTTTGAAAAACTTCCCCATTTTTGCTTCTGTCTTCTGGATCAAGATTTTGGGTGGATGGTCTTTGGTATTGCCCACAGCAGCAGGGTGGAATGAGTTGTCCTTTTCATTCTATGATGAGGCTAACTCTTTGCCTATCTGTCTGGGGTGGCAGGGATTTTAGACCCTGAGTCCTAAGAGCAGGATTGTTTCGCCGGACAGAGTTTAGAACCTCAGGAGATTGAGGGAAAGTGATTTTGCTGAACATAAGCATTTGGAGGTAGGAAAAGCGAAGGCCCTGAAATCACCTCAAACTCTTTGGCGACCTGGAAGGAGGGTGCCTCTGATCTGCTGAAGAGTTCATCTGGAGGGATGGGGATTTGCTCACAAGGGTGGATTTTGATGACTCCAGGGAGCAGGCAGAACTCAGCAAACAATTAGTACACGATGTTCTTTGCTCCTTCTTCCTTGCTTATCAGTTTGCAAGCAATGAATGTTGTCATTGCGTGCTGTCGAGTTGACTCCCACTCATTGCGACCCTATAGGACAGAGTAGCACTGCTCTGTCGGGTTTTCAAGGCTGTCATCTTTATGAGAGCAGACCTCCACAGAGAGGCTGATGGATTTGAACTCTCGACTTTTCTGCAGCTCAGTGTTTAATCACTGAGCCACCAGGGTTCCTTCAAGCAATTAATAACTACCTTAACAAACAAAAAAACCTAGCCTGGAGCCCCTGCGTGTGGCAAATGGTTAAGGAGCTCGACTGTTAGAGGTTTGAGTCCACCTAGAAACAACTTGGAAGAAAGACCTGGCGATTGAGTTCAGAAAAATCAGCCCTGAAAACCGTCTGGCATGTAGTTCTATTCTGACACACATGGGGTCACTTTGAGTTGGAATGGATTCCAATGCAACTGGTTTGGTTTGGAGAATAACTGCCCTGATTCTCCAGGTCTGCTCAGCTTTTGGGAGATGCTAGTTCCAGTGCAAGGCGTAGCAGGCCTCGGACCATCCTCCCTTGTTTCTGTTTACTGAAATAAGAGCTGAAGCAAGTTCAGACACCTCCCAGTAGTCTGTACATGCTCGGACTTCATGTGCCTCGTTGCTCTGTTTAACGGAACAATTCCGGTCTCTAACGCCTTCAGCTCACATCCACACTCAGGAAGGGTGAGAAAAACATTTCATGTATCAAGATTGGGCTTACAGTCTTATCTTCCTCAGATTTTGTATCCCTTTTATGTGGTTGCTACTTTATATAGCAATGCTTATGGGATGTAATGAAGGTCCTCTGTTTAGTGTTGCTGTTGTTAAATGCCGTGGAGTTGATTCCGACCCATAGTGGTCCTGTATAGGGTTAGGGCAGGCTAATAATAGTAGGTAATATGTACTGGGACTCCCTGGGTGGTGCTCTCAACCAAAAAGTTGGAAGCACAAGTCTACCCAGAGACATCTAGGAAGGTGCCTAGCCAGTAAGGGCTGGCAAGCTAATTCTGGGGTGGGGTGGGGGGTAGTCAGCCACTGAAAACCCTCTGTAGCACAGTTCTATTCTGATACACTTGGGGTAGCCATGAATTGGGGGAAACTTCACAGTAACTGGTTTAATGGATTGATTTTCGACTCAGTATAACGGCCCCATAGGGTTTTCTAGGTTGTAATCTTTATGGGGTTATCTGTATGGGTTTGAATTGTCAGCCTTTGAGTTGGCAGCAGAGCATCACCAATGAATCATGCGTAAGCATATTGTTGTCCTCACTTTACAGACAAGGAAACTGAGGCTCTGAGCCTGTCCAGGGGTCCCCCAGCTGAGAAGTGGCTCAGAATTCAGAGCTTTCTCTTACTTCATTGGCACGCTGCCTTTGAGGGTAAATAAATAATGTCTCTGCTCCAAGGGCAGACAGAACTCGGGGCTGGAGGTAATCCGTAAATAGATTTGGTTCTGCTTAGGTTTTGATTCCAAACCTAATGGTGTATGTAATCGCATAAGTGATTACTGCCATTAGTACATGGCACTGTTTGCAGAGGTGCCAAAGTGTGTATTTCATGCGGGAAACTAGGCTGGCAACCCTGGCATCACACACTAATGCTGATCATTAGCCAAGCCCATACTTAACTAAATGGACCATTTGCTTCAGAAACCAGTGTGCAAATGGAGCAGAGTGATCTTTCTCATCCCAGGCTGCCTCTTTTGTCCCCAGTTTGAGCACTGACTGTAGTCACTTCTTTAGTTACCTAGACACTTAAACAAGCTGTGTACGGGGAACATTAGTCGACAGAGAAATGATGCAGTCCTGACGTGACTTGGTTGGGTGACCACGATGTCTCTATCCAGGACCCGTTGGGCTTTTACTGACAGGCAAAGCGGAGCCTCAAGATAGCTCGGACTCCTGGCCACCCTGTGTACAACTGATGTCTTCTATGCTTGAGTCCATTGGTGCGGCCCCTGTGAATTTTGAGTGCCTTCCAGCCTTGGGGCTCATCTTCCAGCACTATGTTGGGATCCATAGGTTTTCATTGTTAATTTTCAGAAGCAGGTCACCTGGCTTTTCTTCCTTGTCTACACCACGGCTGACCCTGTTGGTGTTTGAAGTACCGGTGGCATAGCTTCCAGAATCATAGCAACACACAAGCCACCACGTATGGTCAGTGGACAGAGGGGCGGGAGTTGTCTAAAGTCATTGACAGGACCTTACTTGCCTCTCTTTCCATGCAGATGTTGTGTCGGATTGGTCTCCCATGCATGAAGCTGCGATTCATGGGCGCCTGCTCTGTCTGAGGAACCTCATCAGCCAGGTAGCTTTTTGAAATTTGGTAAATATGAAGTGAATCCTAATGCCCACATATTAAGATACAAACGTCCTCTTCAGCAGAATGTGAATTTCATGAAATTTTCACATGTTAAAAAGTCATCTTCTTTTTCAACCTTTGAAAAGTATAAAAGCTTTTCATATGGGTTAAAGATTATTAAGGAGCCTTGGTGGCGCAATGGTTAAGCACTCTACTGCTAACCGAAAGGTCTTGCTTGAATCCACCAGCTGCTCCGCAGAAGCAAGATGTGGCAGGTCTGCTCCCCTAAAGATTTACAGCCTTGGAAACCCTGTGGGGTAGTTCTGCTCTGCCCTGCAGGATTTTGATGAGTTGGAATTGACTTGACGACAGCATTGGTTTTGGTTTGGAATCATTCTTTTTTTTTTTTTTTTCTTATATCACTTTCAACTCCTTGTATTGTCAGAGTTTGAGCCAGTGAATGTGACTAGTAATGACTTTTAAAAGAATTGTCACAGTAACCTGGCCCCTTTCCTTCCTCCAGGGCTGGCCTGTGAACCTGGTCACAGCAGATCGCGTGTCCCCGCTGCATGAAGCCTGCCTTGGAGGCCATCCGTCATGTGCCAGTGTCTTATTAAATCATGGCGCTCAGGTAAGTGGGGCTCAAATAGCGTCTGAGAAACTGAGAATGATCAGCCTTATTAGAAACATGGAGTCCTGGTGTGGCGCTGTTCCTTAATGCGCTGGACTGCAAAGTCTGCTTGAACTGGGAGGCCTGCTATTCAAGCTCACCAGCTGTTCCTTGGAAACACCCTATACAGGGTTGCTATGGGTGGGAACCCGACTCTAAGGTCCGGCACTTAATAACAGCAACAACATCAGAAACATAAAGAGGAGCATCCAACTTACCATGTCCATCAAGGTTGTTTGTTTTCATGATAGATGAAATACTGAATTTTTAACTAAAAAATAAGACTTAGTATCTTAGAGAAAATTATGGCGGATATAGTTTTCTTTATCAGCCCAAACAAACAAACAAAAACCCCCATTGCGTGGAGTCTGACACCTAGTGACCCCATATGGAGTACTGTGCTCCAAACTGTTGTCAAGACTGTGGCTGTCTCAGAAGCAGAATGCCAGGCCTTTCTTCTGAGGTGCTTCTGGGTAAGTGCAACCTACTAACCTTTCAATTAATAGCCAAGCACCTAACCATTTGTGTCAGCCAGTCTCAGAAACCCTGGATAGGGTCACTATGGTTGGGAATCGAGCTGATAGCAGTGGGCTTTGGAATCTGATTACATGATGAACCCTGACAACACAGCACTGAAAGTCCAGTGTGTGTGTTCCTGGTTGCGTGGCTCTTTTCCAAAGGTGGTTCAAGGACACAGGTTTCTTTCATCCTGTGGCTCTGCCATCTTCAACAAGTGGCTCCCATGTTTTCCTGGGAGTCACCTCCATTCCAAGTAGCTGGGAGGACAAAGAGCGTGGCAGATGGTGCACGGCAGACTTTTACGGGCCAGTCCTGGCAGTGATGCACTTTACTTTTGACTATATACCATAACTCATTTAGTCCCTGCCTACCTTCAAGGGAAACTGGGAAACGCAGTATGGCTGTGTGCTTGGGATAGAGGAAATAGATTGTTGAATGCATAGCATCTTGGTCACAGCAGACAATTCCAATGAGTGTTTATATCCATTCGTTTTTACTACATCACAAACCACCTCAGCTTAATGGCTTTTATCTGACAATTCTGTGGGTCAGCAGGACAGTTCTTCTGGTCTAGGCAGGCTCTGCTGATCATACCCAGACTGATTTATGTATTTGAGGTTAGTAAAGATTTACAGTCTTGGAAACTCTATATAGGGATGGCAGTGGGTGGGTGAGTTGGCTAGGGCAGGCTGGTTTATGGAATGACTTGGCTGGTCTGGTTGGCATGATTGGGGAGACAGGAACTCTCTTCCTATGGTCTCTCATCTCTAGCAGTCAGCCTGGATTTGTTCACAGGTAGCCGGGATTCCAAGATTAGCAAGAGAAGCCAAGTTGTCTGCTTGTATCATATATGCTACTCTGCCATTGGCCAAAGTCAGTCACCTGGCCAAGTTCAGCATCAAGAAATGGAATTTCTGATGGGGTGGGACTGATGTCTAAGAGAAACCTAAAAGACGTGTTGGAGTTAGTCATCTGAGTGGCAGCTGGGAAAATTCAGGACTGCTCGCCCACTGGGGGCAGAGACTGCCAAGGCCTGGCAGTGGAAGTGAACACATCTGTGTGCCATCAAGGAGTCCTTAGGGCAGAGGGTAGAGTGGGTGAGAAGAGTGTGGGTAGGAACATGAACAATCCTGTTGACTGTGCCCCCAAATTGTGCTTAATAGTCTCGGGGGACACAATTGGCATACCATAGTCCACAAAGACGATGTTCTACATCCTACTTTGGTGAGTAGCGACTGGGGTCTTAAATGCTCATGAACAGCCATCTAAGGTGCAATTAGTGGTCTCTCCCTGTCCAGAGAAAAGAAGAGTGTTGGAAATTGAAGACATATGGAAATAATGAATCCAATGGACTGATGAATCACAGAAACCTCACTCTCCAGAAGAATTACATGGTGCCTGGCCACCACTACCAACTACTCCGAAAGGGATCACATTAGAAGGACCTGGAGATACTGGGAGAAAATGTGGAGCAAAACTCAAAATCATAAACAAGATCAGGCTTATTGGTTTGATAGAGACTGGGGTAGCCGTGAGAGCATGGCCCTCGTTCACCCTTCAGGTCTGGAGCTGAACTCAGCCAAGCAATAGATAGGTCTATACGGGGAACAGCAACACTAGTGAGATTGCACAGCATGGAATGGTCAATGATTTGAGACCAAAAGGATAACATTTACCAAAGACAAAGTTCAGAAGGCTTGGGGGAAAAGGAGGAATGGAAACAAGTAAAGAAACCCAGGGAGGAAGTGGGTAAGTGATTTTACATTGAGGGGATTGCAATCAATAAGAAGAAATGAAGTGTCTATGATTTGTTGAATATAAAACTGATGGTCCGTTCTGTAAACCTTCACCCAATTCATAATAAAAAGTTTAAATACTCAAAATAAATAAATATATAAAAGGCTCTGTTTTGAGACCAGTAGAGAGCTACAGGTGAGCACATAATAGATCTATATTTTGTTCATAACATTTATCCAAAATATTAGAAGCAGAGCAAGGACTAAATATGACGAGAGAGAAACCTAGGGTACAAGCTTTAAGGAGGGACAGACGGCACTGTATTGTTGTTAAATACTGTTGAGTCAGTTCTGATTCATAGCCACCCTGTATAGTATTTCCAAGGAGTTTGAACTACCGACTTTGCAAGTTGCAATCCAGTGCTTATCTTATCGTGCCACACCAAGACTCCATACAAGACCTTTAAAATCACTTACATGATCGTTAAATGGTGCATCCTGGGTACCTTCCTAGCCTCAGTACTTTTCTAGGCCCGCCTTTGCTTGGAAATAAACCTGAGAATGGCTTCGTGTCTCAGCAATATCACTGAGATATTTAGCACTCTAGATGAATATATCTTCATTTGGCTTTCTAGTTCCTATTTGATTATAGTCCAACCAGGGGGAAGTTACATGCTAACTTATAGATTTAGAAAAGACAACTTAAAGGTTCTAGTTTTGTGCCCTCTAGGGATAAGCAGGGCTTCTGGTGTGACGCTGTAGGATCGGCACTGCACTGTGAACCACAAGGTCGGCAGTTCAAACCCACCAACTGCTCCTCGGAAACCCTACAAAGGGTTGCTATGAGTCGGAATCAACTTGACAGCACTTAACAACAACAGGGGTAATCACAGAGTCCTGGTGTGGTGCTGTTGGGTAAGCACTTGACTGAAAGGTCTGTCTGAACCGCAAGGTTGGCAGTTCAAACTTATCAGCCGCTCCTTGGAAACCCTATACAGGGTAGCTATGAATCAGAACCAACTCGACAGCATTTAACGAGAACAAGAACAGCAGGGATAAGTCCTGGACTGATAACTGCAAACTCGACAGTTCAAACCCACCAGCTGCTCATGGAAGCCCTATAGAGAGTTGCTGTGAGTCATAGTCCCCCCTCCCCCCGACAAAGGCATTAAATATTTTTGTGTCTATCAGTTTTTATTTCAGCATTGCTTTGATGTTGTTGTTTTTAACTATTGTGAATTGAGTGCAGGTTGACAGAGAAGATCATCAGTTTTACATTCAACAAATCATAGCCTTTGTTTCATCTCAATGATTGCAGTCCCCTCCATGCAACAACCACGTCCTCCCTGTGTTTCCTAGTTCCATTCCTCCCAACTTTGTCCTTAGGGAAATGCTGCCCTTTTGATTTGGAATGGTTGACCATTCCATGGCAAGCAGAACTTGATAGTGGTGTTGCCCCCCTTATATACCTACCTACTGCTTGGCTGAAAATTGGGCCACGAAGCTGAGCTCCTTTCCAGACCTGAGCAGGGTGGTTGAGGGCCATAGGCTCATGTTCCTTCAGTCTCTTTCTGACCAGTAAACCCTGTCTATTTTTTTTTTTTTTTTAAGTAATTTTGAGTTTTGTTCCACATTTTCTCCCATTCTATCTGGGCCCTTCTAATGCGATCCCTTTCAGTGGGAGCTGGGTACCATGTAGGTCTGGTCTCAGAGTCGTGGAAACTGATGTCACATGTTCCATTATTCTGTTGGTCTAATTGATTTCAAGCATCTTCTATTTCATCACTCTTCTTTCTTCTGCACATAGAGGCACCGATAGCAGTACCTTAGATAACTGCTCATGAGTTTTTAAGATCCCACACATCACTCACTGAAGTAGGATGTAGGACAGTGTCTTTGTGGACTATGCTGTGCCAGTTGACTATGGTCTCCCTTCAGCATTGCTTTGACTGTTGGCCAATCCTCAAAGTCTCCTTCAAACCACCCTCACCACCTTCGTGGTACCCTCATTAATTAATCTAGGCCATGTGTTCACTGTATATTTGTATGAAAATGATGATTTAAAAATTTTAAACTTATACTTGAACATGTTTGGAAAATGACTCTGACTTCCGTGAAGAAACTGGATTGGCGTGAAGTGGGATCTGGGAGGAAAGATTTAAAAAAAAGGAGGTTCATCTGGAAGCTACTGAAATGATTCTAGTGAATTTCAAAGTTCATGTTTCTGGAGAGGGCATGAGGGAGACAGAACGTTCAGTAACATTCTTGGTGCCTGATGTTTGATACTACTTTGTGTTTTTCACAACATCCTTGTGGAATAGACATTTTGTAGCTATGGTATGTAAGGCTCAGAGAGGTTAAGTCGCAGCTTGAAAGTCCTGGAGCCTGGATTTGACCCTAGGATGGCATTCTGTCTGCCTTTCACCCTGGGGCTTTCTCTTCCAGGTGAACGGCCTTACTGCAGACTGGCACACTCCCTTGTTTAACGCTTGTATCAGCGGCAGCTGGGACTGTGTGAATTTGCTTCTGCAGCATGGAGCCAGCCCTGACTCCGAAAATGACCTGGCATCTCCCATCCACGAAGCGGCCAAGAGAGGTAAAGCTGCTGAGAAGTCAAATTTTCCACCCATTCCTTTGGAGAAATCTTACTATTGAAGGAAAGGGAGAAAAGGCGATATATTTTAGAGCAGTAGTTCTCAAAGTGGGGTCTCCAGGACCAGTGGCATCAGCATAACCTGAAGTGTAAATGCAGATTCCTGGGTCCAACTCCAGCTCCACTGAATCAGGAGCTCTGGAGAGGGACCCAGACACTGGGGTTTATTTAACTGACCCACCAAGTGGTTATGGTGCACAATACATTTGGGAAGCACTGATTTGGGGTCTTTGGAACAGGGCTTGTCAGGTAGTAGACTTCACCCCACTGCTGCTGAGTTGATTCTGACTCAGAACTTACTTATGGTGATCCTGTATAAGGTTTTCTGGGAGCAGCTGGTGGATTTGAATCACTGACCTTGCAGTTAGCAGTCCAGTGCTTATCCCATAGTTCCACACTAGGACTCCAGAGCGATCTTAGGAGACAGAGTAAAATTGAGGTGGTGAAGCTTTACAGAAGCAGACTGATGCATCTTTCTCCCACAGAGCGACTGGTGGTTTCAAACCTTCCGCCTCCAGGTTAGCAGCCCAATGTTTAACCAACTGTGCCACCAAGGGATCCTTACATAACAGACTAGCCATCCATATTTGTGGAATATATTGTTGACACCATGACCCCATAGAAATCAAGCCATTTTATAAAACAAACTATACTGTTTTAAGGCTTTAGAGAATATTGTCTCAGGGCTCCCTAAATTCGCAAAGTGTGACAAACTACTGTCCATTTCTGGAATTCTAAGATTTTATATACAGTTTTTCTCCCAAAGCAGGGCCTTTAATTTATTAAGAGACGTGTTGGTTCTTCATAGTCACTGGTCGCAAAGAACTAAAAAGATGTAACAAGAGAAACATAGGAAGCAATGTTTAAAGTATGACCTTCTAGACCAAGCAAATGTGATTTAGCCTTGACCCACTCATGTGGGTTTTGGCAGTGGCTTTGAAGCCTGTTGTTGCTCCCAGGGCCTGCCACTGGTGAGGTTGTAAGCTCCAATTCCTGTTTCACAGCCCATGCTGTGTCGGTTCTTTCTTCTTCAGATCCCACCTTCAATTCCCATTCCTCCCGAACTAGCAACCAGTTGCCACATGGTGCTCCTATGTGTATCAGTGTAGAACTGTCCCCCATAGGGTTTTCAGTGGCTGATTTATCACCTAACTCTTCCCAAGTCTCAATTCATTTCTGTATGTGGACGGATTATTCCACAAATCAATTAAAAGGGGTGGATTGGTTGCTGATTGTTTAAAAGTGGCTAGCACAAAGTCAACAGTTCAAACCCACCAGCTGCTCCTTGGGAACCCTATACAGGGTCGCTATGAGTTAGAATGGACTCGACAGCACTTAGGAACAACAATTATACTCAGGTGAGTTCTACCCTTAGCTTCAGATCATGTCTTGCTGTCAACCCGTTAACTGATGGCAGTGTTAGAAATCATTTGCTATTCAAGGTAAAGGGAAGGGCATTTGGGTCTCGGGATAAATTGCTGGCAAATTTTAACTGCAAAACAAAAGAATGAACAAGGTGGGATTTCCATAGCTACGAAGCCTGTACTGCTACTATTCTCTCTCGCTTTTGGCTGCAGGTCACGTGGAGTGTGTGGAGTCTCTTGCAGCGCATGGAGGCAACATTGACCGCAATATCAGACACTTGGGCACCCCACTATATTTGGCTTGTGAAAACCAGCAGATAGCTTGTGCCAAGAAGCTTCTGGAATCAGGTAAAACAAACAAAAACCAAGGGAAGAAAATGAAACAGAAATATCATGTAGTTTAACGATCGCCCTATTGTAGCAGAAGAAAGAGTATGGGCAATGGGATTGGACTGTGGTCCCATGGGGAATGGTTTTAAACTCTTTGAGCTTCACTTCTCTCATTTGTAACACGAGGATAATGATGATGATGACGATGATACCCCTCCCAGAGTGGTCCTCCATGATGCTTGTTACTTCCATCCCCTTTTCCCCTGCCTCTCCCTCCTGCCAAATGTATTTTTATGCTCTGAATAACTTACAAAGCTGCTGGATTAGGGAAAGTCTTCCTATTTGGAATCTTCTATAGAAAGTCTCTTTGATTTGAAAATGGAAATCGCTCCATTTGTAGCCTCCGGGAAATAGTCTCTTTTCTTTGAAATGACCTACATACCCTTGTTTCTTTTCCCCACCTGCTGTGGCTCAGATGCCTTTTTTGACATCTGGAACATCATTTCATCACCTCTTCAATCACTTGAGTCCTATTTATTCTTTTAGATTTCAGTAATCTCTCCCTTACCTGAATTCGTACAGTTCTATTGTCTTCTATTCACTTGGCAGCCATTGCCATGAATTAAGAGATTCATTTTCTCTATCTCTCTCTCAAATAGTATGTCTGTGTTCTAGCTCCCTAGATAGATGTTAAGCTCTTAACCAAGAAATGGACAACTTTGGCATCCATCACTAAGCCCCAAACAATAAAAGTACAATGTAGATGTCTATTTTACTAGAGACAGTAGCTCGGGTAAAGCCACATAAGGCCACACATCACAGTGACAGCCAGGTGGGAATCTGCTGAGAAGGTAGCAGTGGAATTGGCTGAGGATGGCTCCAGGAACTCACCTCACTCTTTCTGTGACTCTGGCATTACCTGCCCTGGTGTGGCGCTGTGGGACGAGCACTGGACTGCTAACTGCAAGGTCGGCAGTTCAACCCACCAGCCACCCCTGTAAAACACTATACAGGATCGCTATGAGTCAGAACTGACTCAAGAGCATTTCACAACAACTACACTTTAGAAGTGGCTCCCACAGTCCAGATCACAGTGCCTGGCCCGCCCCAGGTTTGAAACCCAATGGCGGTTGCTAGTATATGCATTTGGCTGCCTGGTCAGAGCAGACTTCACCTTCAGACAACACAGGAGAATGCTTGTTGCTGTTGTGAAGTGCTGTCAAATTGGTTCCGACTCTTCAGCAACCCCGTAGAGAGGTTTGACTCGCTGACTCTGAGGTTAGCAGGCCAGTGCTGATCCCACAGCTACACCAGGACCGCATCCATTACTCATAGCTGGGCAGTCTTTTGGCCGACAGCATTTCTCTTGTAGGTAGCGCATCTGTCTAGCCGTCAACGGGGGAACTTTTAGCTTGATGGTGCTGGGGGATAAGCACTGGATGACTAACCAGAAGGTCAGTGGTTTGAGCCAACCAGCCACTCCTTGGGAGACAAACGAGGATTTCTGCTCTGTGTGGCGCTGCGGGTTAATGCACTGGTCTGCAAAGTCCGTTTGAACCGCAAGGTCAGCTGTTCAAGCTCACCAGCTGCTCCTCGGAAACCCTATACAGGGTCACTATGGGTTGGAATCGGCGCAACGGCACTTTACAACAACAACAACAAAGGTTTACAGCCTTGGAAATCCTATACAGGGTCGCTATGAGTTCGAATCGACTTGATTGCCGTGGTTTTCAAGACTGTATATAGTTGCTTGGTAAATGGTGTTTCTCTATATTATTAAATGGAGTCAAATTGACTCCTGTCTTCTCCGGAGAAAGGCTCTGCTCTCTATGGATCCCCTTTCCTGAGGGCATTTTGAAGCTCAGCTCTGTAAAGGGTAGACAGTTGAGCTCTGCTTATTGGCTGACCCCCTTCTGTTCTCATCATGACTACTTAGGAGCTGATGTGAACAATGGCAAAGGTCTGGATTCCCCTCTTCACGTGGTGGCCAGGATGTGCAGCCCGGAGCTGGCCCACCTGCTCTTGGACTTTGGAGCTAACACCCAGGCGAAGAACGCTGACGGCAAGCGCCCTGTGGAGCTGGTGGCGCCAGACTGCAATCTGAACCAGCTCCTCTTGGAGAGAGAAGGTACTTCTCATTTGCCTGAACCTAAGCCCTAACCTGTAGAGAGACCTGTGGGAGGCAGGTATTTACCGAGTTCTGACTTGTGATAGTATCTAAGATCATTCTCTGCCCTTCCCCAGTGTGGAAAAGTTTCGATCAGTTAATATTCAACAAATGTACAGTTGAATAGATGCATATATGAGGAGGCTTCCGAAAGTTCATGAAAAGATAATGGATCTTTTCCATGAACTTTTAGAAGCCCCATCATATATATATATATATATATATATGTTTGGAGTCCTGGTGTGGCATTGTGGGTTAATGCGCCAGACTGCAAAGCCGTTTGAACTGCAAGGTCTGCAGTTTAAGTTCACCAGCTGTTCCTCGGAAACCCTATACAGGGTCGCTATGGGTCAGAACGGACTCAACGGCACTTAACAACAACAACATATATATGTTTATATATTCAGTTATGTGCTTGACTGGAGTCCTGGTATGGCACTGCTGGATAAGCACTGGACTGCTAATTGCAAGGTTAGTGGTTCAAACCCATCATCCACTCCTTGGAAACTTTATACAGGGTTGCTATGAGTTGGAACTGACTTGATGGCACTTAACAAAAACATCAACAAGTTCTTGACTGCTAATCAAATGGTTGGTGGTTCAAATCTACCCAGAGGCATCTCAGAAGGCAGGTCTGGAGACCTGTTTTCAAAAGGTCACAGCCTTGAAAATCCTGTGGTGCACAATTTTACTTGGCGACACATGGGGTCACAATGAGTTGGCCAAAGCCAAGCCCATTGTCCTCAAGTCAATTCTGACTCATGTGGTTCCGTGTGTCAGTAGAACTGCACTCCCTCGGGTTTTTAGTGGCTGTAATCTTGAAAGGAGCGCTGATAGTGTAGTGGTTACTCCACCGCACACAACAACAACAAATCTTGTAAGAGTCGATCTCTGGTAGGGTAGTGGTTACGAATCGGGCTGCTAACCTCAAAGTCAGCAGTTTGAAACTACCAGCTGTTCTGCTGGAGAAAGATGAGGTTTTCTGCTCCCGTTAAGATTTACAGCCTCGGAAACCCTATATAGGATCACTGTGAGTCAGAATTGACTCCACGGCACATAACCACCACCACCACCAATCTTAGAAGAGTATAGATCTCCAGGTCTTTCTTCTTTGTGCAACTTTGGGTAGATTTGAACTGTGAACTTTTTGATAAGGAGCCCTGGTGGTGCACTGCTGAAGCACTCAGCTGCTAACTGAAAGGTCAGTGTTTCAAACCCATCAACTGCTTCACGGGAGAAATATGTAAAGATTACAGCCATGGAAACCCTATGGGGTAGTTAGTTGCACTCTAGCCATAGAATGAATCTGAATGCACTGGACGGCAATAGTTAGTTATTTTTAGCCAAACACAAACATTTGTGCACCCAGGGGCATTATATAGGGTGTAATACGATAGTAAATAATCATCCTGCTGTTTGTTAGCTTGGAGACGGGCTGGTGTGGAGGATCTAATATTCACTGTAGGGTATGACCGTTTTCAAAGAATTAAGATACTGTTAAAAAAATTCAATAGTTACCTTGTCTAAAACCACCTTTAGAATGATGACGCAGGAGCCCTTTTGGAGTTGTATGGATGTCCATTCTTCTGACAGTACAGACGGACAGAAATATGGGACATTTGGGTTTAAAAATACAGCCAATTAAAAGTACTGGGTATCCCTTTCATGATTCACACCAATCTGAAGATATTTAGTCTTATAAATGAAAAAACACTTAAGTCCACCACAAATAACTAATAACACTCTTAACATGCTGCTTGACAGGCAGGTAGAAAGTTTGGGAGTAACCTCTACTTTCATCCCAAAGAAGACCTACATTCCATGATCGACAGAGCCTGACCCCAGGCATGAGAAACAGCTAGTGCTATCGTTAGGTGCTGCCTAAATCCGTTCTGACTCTTAGCGACCCTATGTACTCAGAATGAAACATGATCCGGTCCTGCCTAGTCCTCATAATTGCCATGTTCATGCCTGCAGTAGACACCCCTTCATGCTAAGCAACTGGATAAGCACCAGACACTTTGACCTGTCAGTGGTTGATTCTATGTTTTCAAAACATTCTCTCTTTACCGGGTGGGCTTCTCCATCAATTGTTTTTGGCCCATAGGGTTTGCAGGGGCCCACAGAAATATTTTCATTTCCATTAAAATAGAAAGGACAAATGAATGTCATCCAGTCCGGATGATATTCATCTTTATACCAAGCCAGACGTAAAATATAATTTTAACTATTTTTAATAGAGGACAAATCCACAAAGGCTAAAGTGTTTCACGTCCCCTGAACTCATAATGAAAAAAGGCATATATATCCCTGTCCCATCAGATCATTTTCTAGGCTTTCCCAAGTGTCTTCACTGACTCTACTTAATGTCCCAGTCAGTCCTAGCGGGCCACTGAACGGATTCCTGTCACATATTCCATGCTGACAACATCACCAGCGATCCCATTGGCTGAGAAAATGTTATTTGCTACTAAAAAAACCTGCCGTATCTTTAGCCTCTGTGAGTGATTATGGGGGTTCTAACGAGATCACCTCTCAGCAGGCTGGTTCCCCACAGGACATGGACCAGGCAACCGCAGAAAGCCACACACTCTTGAGTTCATGCAGCAGTTTCTGTCTCAGGATGTCCACACTGTCACTTCTGTCTCAAGATGTCCGCCCTGTCACTTCAGGCCACCTGCTTCTCTGGATCCAGGGAAGGGAATGAATTACATCACTGCTCCTTTTCAATGGCATGGCAACGGGAAAACATTAGATGAACCTCAACCATATCTGGAAGGAGGTTTTGCATGGGGTGTTCCTTCCTATCATGATGGCATCTTTAGGGGGAAGGGAAGGATGTAAAGCATATCACCACTCCTGTCCCTTGTGAGGAGTTTTGGTGTGGCGCTGCAGGATAATGTGCTGAACCGCAAGGTTAGTTTGAGCCACAAGGTAGCCAGTTCAAACCCACCAACTGCTCCTCGGAAACCCTAAACAAGGTCTCGATGAGTCGGAACCAACTCGAAAGCACTTAACAAGAACAACAACAATCTCTTGTGAAGTATTTGAGGCAGTGTTTGCTAGTGGGATACAAGGAAAGCTAAACTAGACTCTCTCAGCCCAACATGTACCAGAGCCACCCCTGAATTCGCTTTGGTCTTAAAGCATCTTATGTGTGGCAGGTAGGGCTGGAGGCGAGGAAGAAATCAAGGCTCAAAGGAATATGCAATCTACAAATATACACTTAACTGAGAATATTGTAGAGCAACCCACCAACTGCTTCCATAAAGATTTACAATCTCAGAAGTCCAATGGGGCAGTTCTAATTTGTTCTGTGAGGTCGCTATGAGTCAGACTTGACTCAACAGCAAAAGGTTTGGCAATATGGAGCAAAGCAAATACCCAGAATGCATGCTGGCAGCAACAAGTGGCTAGAAAGCCTAGTAGATTTTCAGTTCCAGGTGACGTGGGATTTCTCCGTCACACTGCCTTCAGTAAACAGCCAGCAGACACTTGATGGGCACCCAGTCTCCCACTGAGCTCACTCTGACAGGCCTGCTGGTCATGATTCTCTAGCGAGTTTGCTCTGATGTTTTGTTCTGCCTAATTCCTTATGGAGTCCTGGGGTGGCGCTGTAGGATAAACATTGGACTGCAAGGTTGGCTGTTCAAACTCATCAGCCACTCCTCGGAAGCCCTATACAGGGTCGCTATGAGTTGGAACCAACTCGGCGGCACTTAACAACAACAATTCCTTATCAGGATCCAGCACCTATGATTAGTCACATCCCTTAGTTTGGTGACACTACGTTCAGTTTTCTTACAGTGGGCTTCTTATGGTTCATTAATATGGGCCTTGAGGGAACCAGGAAGGTACCCTAAATACCACCAGGACCTCCTGTATATGCCAGTAGGGGTGGATTTAAAATATTACACCTATTTATTGTGACGACGGAACAATGAATGAGGAGGACTGAAGAATTGATGCCTTTGAATCTGGGTGTTGTTCTTGCTTTAAAGACATCTCTAAAGTGTTAAAAAGCAAAGATGTCACCGAGGACTAAAGTGTGCCTCACTCAAACCCTGGTATTTTCAATTGCCTCATGAGGGTCAGAGAAAAAGAGGAAGACCCCCAAGAAGATGGATTGGCTAAGTGGCAGCATCAATGGACTCAAGCGTGGCAACAGTAATGAGGTTGGCCCAGGATCCGGCAGTGTTTCATTCTGCTGTGCAGAAGGTCGCTATGGGTCAGTACTGACTAAGTGGCACCTAACAACAACAACATATGCATTTGGAGTCCTGGTGTGACGCTGTGAGTTAATGCGCCAGACTGCAAAGCCGTTTGAACTGCAAGGTCGGCAGTTCAAGCTCACCAGCTGCTCCTCAGAAACCTCTTACAGGGTCGCTATGGGTCTGAACCGAACTCAATGGCACTTCACAACAACAACATATGCATTTGAAAGTTGGATAATAAATAAGGAAGACTGAAGAAGAATTGCTGCCTTTGAATATTAAAAGTGCCATGGACTTCCAGAAGAACAAACAAATCTGTCTTGAAACAAGTACAGGCAGGATATTCCTTGGAAGCCAAGATGGTAAGACTTTTGTCTCACATACTTTGGCCATGTTATCAGGAAGGGCCAGTCCCTGGAGAAGGACATCATGCTTGGTAATGTGGAGGGTCAGAGAAAAAGAGGGAGACCTCCCCAACGAGATGGATCACCACAGTGGCTGTAGCCGTGGGCTTAAAGATAGCAGCAGTTGTGAGCATGACCCAAGATTGGATAGTGTTTTGTTCTGTTGATGGAACCAACTCGGCAGCATGTAGCAGCAGCAGCAGCAGCAACAGCGTTTGATGGTCTGTGTCTAATTCTGCTTCTCCTTGTTCTCCATCATCTGAGAAGTATGTGAGTCAGTTTAACCTGTTACATGTGGTAATGGCATAGTGAACGAGAGGTCAGCACATCCATCTAGTAGTATTCTCAACCCTGGACAAACAACAAAATGACCCTGGGCACTTTAAGAAAGTCCAGATATACAAGTCCCACCCAGGAATATCTGAATCAGCATCTCTGGGGGTGGGGCCCAGCATCGGAATAATTTCAAGTGCCTCCCCAGGTGATTCTAAATTGCAGTCAGGATTGAGGACCATTGCTTCTCAGAATTCTTGAAGGAATATAGTAAGAGAATTCCCATCACAATTTGGTGCAGGAATCGGTAGTGAGAAATCCTTCCCCATCGTTGTACCCTGAAACAATCTCTCAACCTCAGCATTGTTGACATTCCGGGCAGTGTGAGGACCGCCTTGTGCATTGTGGGATATTTAGCAACATTCTTGGCCTACACCCACTAGATACTAATATTGGAGTCAATTCCAACTCATAGTCAACCTATAGGACAGTAGTACTGCCCAATCCAGTTTCCTAGGCTGTCTTCTTTAGGGAAGCAGATCACCATGTCTTTTTTCGTCGGAGCCACTGGTAGGTCTGAACTGCCAACACTGCCAGGGCTCCTTAGGTGCGGATAGCACTCCTTAGGCATTAGTGATCTGAAAGAGACTGGCATTGGCCATTTTTAATCTATTATGATAGAGTCCTGGTGTGGCGCTGTGGGTTAATGCGTCAGACTGCAAAGTTGTTTGAACTGCAAAGTCGGCGGTTCAAGCTCAGCAGGTGCTCCTCGGAAACCCTATACAGGGTCGTTAGAGGTCAGAATTGACTTGACGTGACTTAACAACAACATGATGGGAATGACAAATTGAAGAGGAACAGCATCATATTCATTGTCAAAAAAGAATTTCAATATCTATCCTGAAGTACAATGTTGTCTATGGTATGATAATATAGACATGCTTGGACTTATTCCTTTAAGACCAAATAAGAATTGATGTCTTTGAATGACAGTGTTGTCACAGAGTATTCCCTATACCATGGACTGCCAGAAGAACAAAGAAATCTGTCTTGGAAGAAGTATAGCAGAATACTCCTTAGAAGTGAGGATGGCGAGACATCACCGTGCATACTTGGTGTGCGTTATCAGGAGGGTCCAGTCCCTGGAAAAGAGACCTTATGCTTGGTCAGCGAAAAAGAGAAAGACCCTTAGTGAGAAGGAGTAACAACAGTGACCGCAACACTAGGCCCAAGCATGACAACAACAGGGAGGATGTTTTGTTCTGTGGTACAAAGCGTAACTATGAGTCAGAACTAACTGTACAGCACCTCACATCAATAAGTTGTGGCATGATGCCCTAGGTGGCTCAAACAGTTAAGCCCTTGACTACTGATTGACAGGCTGGTGACTTGGAAGAAAGGGCTGGTGATTTGCTTAGAAAAGGTCACAGCTTTACACAGGTCTACTCGGACTCACTGAAGAGCAAAGATGTCAGCTTGAGGACTAAGGTGCGCCTGACCCAAGCCATGGTATTTTCAATAACCTCATATACATGCAAAAGCTGGACAGTGAATAAGGAAGACTGTAGAAGAATTGATGCTTTTGAGTTATGGTGTTGGAGGAGAATACTGAAAGTGCCACGGGCTGCCAAAAGAACCAAGAGATCGGTTTTGGAAGAAGTGCAGCCAGAGTGCTCCTTCGAGGCCAAGATGGCCAAACTTCGTCTCTCATACATTGGACGTATTGTCAGGAGGGACCAGTCTCTAGAGAAGGATATCATGTTTGGTAAGGTGGAGAGTCAGAGCAAAAGAGGAAGACCCCCAGTGAGATGGATTGGCCAAGTGGCAGCATTGGTGGACTCAAGTGTGGCAACAATAATGAGGTTGGCCCAGGATCGGGCAGTGTTTCGTTCTGCTGTGCATAAGTTCACTATGAGTTGGTACCGACCTGATGGCACCTAACAACAACAACAACAACTCGGACTCACATGGAGTCGCCATGTGTCGGAGTCAACTTGATGACAACTAGTTCAGCTGTGACAACAGAAAGCGTATTTAGCCATTTCCAAATACCTCCTGAGGGTCCAGATATCCCTGCTACTTTTCCCTGCCTGCTCCTTGACCGCATCATCACTATCCTACAATGTAAGCCCATATGCAAGGTTTATAGAAACCCACTTTTCACTTATACATGGAATCACCAATAAACCAGACTTTCTTCAGCTTGTGTGCACGAAATTGATGCTTTAAATTTCTTTCACTGTCTTCTAAATTAAAACTCTAAAGAGCCCATTTTTCAATTAGATGGAAGAAACGAAAGAACCTGGTTGGGAAAATAGCCCCTGAAACAATAAATCCAGTATAGGTTCTTGCCGATTTGGTTCCAGATCACCACAATAAAGGAAATACTGCAATAAGGTAAATCACACGAATGTTCTGGTTTCCCAGTGCATATGAAGATTATGTTTACACTCTACTGTAGTCTAGAGTGTGAAGGAGCATTGTGAAAAAGTTGGAAATACTGTGGGAATGACCGAAAGGAGACACAGCATCGTGAAGTGAGTATACGCTGTTGGGAAAATGGTGCCAATACACTTGCTCAATGCAGGGTTATGGCTATGGAAGTGCAGTAAAGTGAAACACAGTAAAATGAGGTGATGTTGCTGTTGTTGTTAAGTGTCGTGAAGTTAGATCCTGGTTAGGCTTTCAGAGGCTTTTTAAATCTTTGTGGGAGCAGAAAGCCTCATCTTTCTTCCATGGAGTGGCTGGTGGGCTCAAACTGTTGACCTGTTCTTTACAGTCCAGTGTTTATCCTACAGAGCCATGAGGATCCCCAAAATCTGTTCTTTTAAAACAAAAACAAGAGATAACATTGCTATAAAAAATAATAAGGTACAGGCATAACTTTTTTTGAGATCCATCAAATAGCCGTGTGACTGCCGTGTGATTTTTCTCCAGGGCCTCCTTCTCTGATGCAGTTGTGCCGCCTTAGGATTCGGAAGTGCTTTGGAATCAAGCAGCACCATAAGATCACTGGACTGGACCTACCGGAGGAGCTGAAGAAATTTCTTCTCCACATTTAAGTGTGCCAAAGAGATGGATGTTCAAACAATAGATAAACATTAGCAAATGTTGTGACCATTAGAGTTTAAAAATAAAGCTGGGTTCATAGAGCTTGCCTAGTTTTTTCAATGACATCCTTATTTTCAGTGGAGAAATGCTAATTGCTTTGGTTTTGCTGGCTGGAAGGCATGAAGTTTTTTCCCCCCTGCCTTGAGAAGGGTGGTGAAAAGAACAGCTTTTGCTTTGAACATCTACTCCATGCCAGATGCTGGACTAGAATTGCTGTAGACCTCATCTTCTTTAACCCTCACAACCACCCAGCCAGGCGGTTGCTGTTCTCGGCCCTTCGCCAGGTTAGGCACAGACTCAGGGAGGCACATGTGTTCGTTTCCACAGAGCCAGGATAGAGAGCCAGGTTCCATTATAGGCCCTCTGTTGCTAACCTGGGTAGTGAATTGAAAGGAATTTGGGGCTGATCAGGAAAGATGATATGACCACTAGATAGCAGCACTGCACGATAAGCTATTTATCGGAGGCATGACAGTCAAGTATCAGCATGCAGGAGTGGTCCCCCTGACCCCCACCACATACACATTGGGAGGGTTTCCAGAGGCAAGCTGCTCAGGAACCATCAAAAGGGGAATAACTAATCCCTGCCAAGTTGACTCGAACTCACGGTGACTTCATGTGTGTTAGAGTGGTACTATGGTCCTAGTGTGGCACTGGACTGCAAGGCTGGTTTGAATCGCAAGGTCGATGGTTCAAGCTCACTAGCCGCTCATAGGAAACTGACTCGCTGGCACTTAACAACAATAACAATATTCTATTGCGAGTCCTGGTGTGGTGCTGTGGGATAATACACTGGACTGCAGGGTCAGTTTGAACTGCAAGGTCGGCTGTTCAAGCTCACCAGCCACTCCTTAGAAACCCTATACAGGGTCGCTATGGGTCAGAACTGACTCGATGACATTTATCAACAACAACATGCTTTATAAGGCTTTTAATTACTGAGTTTTGAGGCTTTTGGTTCGAAGCAAAGCTCATTCTGTTTGCACCACCCAGGGGCCCCACACCCCCGGGAGAGAAGGGAGGGGGAATTTTGTGTAGAAGAGGGCATGACACACCCCGGGGAGAGAAGGGAGGGGGAATTCTGTGTGCCTTACTCGATGTCTTCTTGCAGCAAGGTAGGAAGTCCCTGGGTTAGGTTTTGGGAGCAGTATACCGGGGTATATAAAACTGGGAGACTCTTAAGTGGCTAAAAATCTGCTTATTTGAGCATTACAAAAAAGACAAAAACTTTTTCATTGTGATTTGGGTGAAATGTTTAAAGAGCAGATTGGGTTTCCACTCCACAATTGATACACATTTTGAATGGTGACATTGATGACAGTCCTCCCAATGTGATCACAGCTGTCCTCCCACTCCCTCCTGGTGTGTCCCATCTCCATTTGTCCGTCTTTCCTGTTCCTTCCTGCCCTGTGGATTGTGTATGCTTGGCTTTTCTAGTGAGTGGGGATCACTCTGGTGTTATTGTCCACTCCATATGGTTTGGCGGAAACTTGAGCCATGGCAGTGAGTTTGGTTCCAGGCTTGAAGGATGCCCAAGAACTATAGTCTCGGAATTTTCACCAGTCTCTATCAAACCGGTGGTGGTGGTGGTGGTGGTGGTGGTGGTGGCTGTGTGCCATGGAGTCACTTCTGACTCATAGTGACCCTGAATAGGATTTCCAAGATTGTAAATCTTTACGAATGCAGAAAGCCTCATCTTTCTCCCGTAGAACTGCTGGTAGTTTTGAACTGATGACCGTGAGGTTTGCAGCCTGATTCATAACCACTAGACTACCAGAGCTCCTTATCAAACCAGTAAGTCTGGTCTTTTTTTTTATGATTTTGATTTTCATTCCACATTTCTTCCCCAATCTATCCAGAACCTTCTAAAGTGATCCCTTTCAGAGTGGTTGGTTCCTTAGTCCATTGGACCAAGTATTTTCATATATCTTCAAGTTTCAGTACTCTTCCTTCCTCTGAACTCATGAGCTTTTAAGACCCCAGTTTCTACTCACCAAAGTAGGATGGAGAAAATCGTCTTTGTGAACCATCTCATACCAATTGATTTTATTTTTAACGTTTTTATTGTGAATTGAGTGATAGTTTACATGAGGGGACATCAGTTTTACGCTCATCCTATCGTATTTTGTTTCATTGCAATGATTACAATCCCAAGCGTGCTTCATCATTCAACAGTATTTGCTTCTATTCCCTCTTTTCTTTTTTTCTTGGCTGTGCACTAAATCACTCAGGAATGTATAGTCATTCAAACAACCAAAGGGCACACTCTGCAAGCCTGCCTCCCTGTCACCAGCACACATGCCTTCTTCCTCCATGAGGGTGCAGCTATTCCGTCTCTCCACGTCATCTCTGTCTCCATTTCTGGCGTCACTGCTTCTCTGGGTAGGGTTGCACACTCTGCTTCCAATCTTCTCCCTTGATGATCCCAGGGTCCTCCGCTCTGGGACTGTAATATCAACCACTCACCCCCTTTTGCTACAAAACTTATACCTTTACAGTTGCGACAACTGCAATTAGTCATGATAACAATTACTACTGAATCATACGAGTCTTGTCCCCATCTCCTTTCACCAGACCTGCCTGGTGGTGGTTATGTGCCGTGGAGTAGGTTCCGACTCATAGCGACCCTGTACAGGGTTTCTGAGACTGTAAAGATGAGCAGAAAGCCTCATCTTTCTCCCGTGGAACAGCTGGTAGTTTCAAACTGCTGACCTTAAGGTTCACAGCCCGATTCGTAACCACTACGCTACCAGAGCTCCTCAGACCTGTCTAGACAGGATGAAAACCATTCAGTAGGGATTCTACCTTCCCCCCTGCACACTCTGAATCTAAACTCCCTCTTAAAAACTTGTAAGCCAGTCACTTCGTGCCTTTACAGCCCCCTGCCCCCCACCATTTTAAGTAGCCAATGTCTAAATTGCCCATCCCTATCAACCCTGTGTACAGAGGGGATGGGAATGATCCTTGCTATGAAGATTTCGTCGCTCTTGGTTGTATACCAACCGATTTTGATGGCTCCTCAGATTATGGTCCTGAGCCTCTAGGCTCAGTGACTCATTCCCTCAAGGTGTTTGGTTACGGTTAAGAAGTTTTTATAATTTTTTTATATGGGCTATTTTAAGAATATTTGGATGTGTACAAATTTGAGTTTGCTGCCAGTGGTTTTTGTTTTGTTTTGTTTTGTTTTGCACTAGCAGGCCTTAGCTTGCTAGGAAGTACACGACTTGGAGTCAATACAGAGGCAATCTTTGGCTTATTTATATAACACCTAGAGAGTTTTGAAGGAGCCTGGCGGGGCAGTGATTAAGCACTCACTCAGCTGCTAACTGAAAGGTCGGTGTAAGCTTGAACCCACCAGCCAAACCTCTGGAGAAAGTTGTGGCAGTTTGCTACCGTAAAGACTTCAGCTTTGGCAACTCCATAGTAGTTACAGTGTAATCTGTCCTATACGGCCACTGGAAGTCAACGGCAATAGGTTTTGGGAGTTTGGAGGGAGGCACATTTCCCAAAATCCTGGCACCATTTTCCTTATATGGGATGATAAAGATGAAGGACATTTTTGGGTTTGTCTGTGTGGTTTTTATTTTATTTTAGTCCTCATTTTTCTTGTGATAAAACTCCTGCCCTTGGCTAGTGGCCAGTTATTTCGCTCAACCCACATATCATATACATAATAAGTATATTCTAGAATTGTGTTGTCCAATACAGTAGCCACAGCCCTGTGGTCCTCAACCACAGACAATTTTGACCCCAGGGGATATTTGGAAATTGCTAGAGATGTTTTTGATGGTCACAAATCTACCCATTACATACTATTGGCATGTAATAGGTAGAGACCAAGCATGTGGCTGTTGTTGTTAGGTGCCATTGAGTCAGTTCCAAGTCAAAACGACATTACACCAGCAGGAAACACTGCCCAGTCGTGCTCCAGCCTCAGAATGGTTGACATGTTTGCATCCATTGTTCCAGTCACTGTATCTGTTCATCCTGGTGAAGATCTTCCTCTTTTTTCATGGCTCTCCAGAGATTTCCTGTTAACATGTCCAAAGTACGTGAGATGAAGCATTCTGGCTGTACTTTTTGGATCATTTCTGCAGACTGTTGCATCACCTTTCTTTGGCGCAAGCACAAACATGTATCTTTTCCAGTCAGTTGACCAGGTGGCTATCTTCCAATTTTCTTGGCATAGATGAGTGAGCGCTTCCAGCATTGCATCTGTTTGATCTGTTTGTTGAAACTTTTCAATTTGTATTCCATCAATTCCTAGAGCCTCATTGTTTCCCATTGCCTTTAATGGAGCTTGAATTTCTTTCTTGTTCATATATAGCCTCCTCAGATGATTGAATGGCAACCAATTCTTTTTGGTGCAGTGACTGTGTATTCCTTCATCAACTTCTTCTTCTTTTTTAAGTTTTTATTATGAATTGAGTGAAAGTTTACAGGGCAGATCATCAGTTTTACATTCAACAAATCATATACTTTGTTTCATTGTTGTTGTTAAGTGCCGTCGAGTCGGTTCCGACCCATAGCGACCCTGTACAGGGTTTCCGAGGGTGTAAATCCTTACGGCAGTAGAAAGCCTCATCTTTCTCCCGCGGAGCGGCTGGTAGTTTCAGACGGCTGACCTTAAGGTTCGCAGCCCGATTCGTAACCACTACGCTACCAGAGCTCCTTGGTTATAATCCCCTCCATGTACCATCAGTTAACAGTATTTCTCTCTATTCATTTTAGCTATTTTTTTTTTAAACACTCAGGCAGATATAATAATTTAAACCACCAAAGGGCACGTTCTGCAAGCCTGCCTCCTGGCCGCCAGCTCTCAGTACCTCTCTTCCCAGGAATCTAGGGTCCTCAGCTGCTCCCTCTCTCCGTGTCCCCATCTCTGCCTCCATCTCTGGTGTGGCTGCTTCTCTGGATAGGGTCCCACATTCCACTTGTGCTCTTCTCCCTT